GCCACTGCCGCGCGTAACTCGGAAGACAAGCAGCCACCGCCCGCGCAGTCAGCAGCCGAGAGAGTCAACAACACGCGCGAGGGAGAGACTACATCGGGCAAGAGCAACAGAGTAGGAGGAGAAGAAGGAGAAGGAGGAGGAGGGGGACAACATCAAGGAAGAGTGAGCGCACGGAGGGTGGAAGGATGCGCGAGGAGGAGTACGGTGGCCACGAACTCCCGCTCGGCGCTTTTTCACGGAGACCAACGCGGTTATCCGAGATGCGAGCCGCGTGACACGAATGCGGGAGCGCGAGAGAAAGGAGAGCCAGAAACGTGAGGAGACAGAAGGCAAGAGAGAGAGAGAGAGAGGGAGAGAAAAGGCGAGGGAGAGAGGGAGGGAAGGAGAGAGAGAGAGACACGCGCGCGCGAGAGAGCGTATCCGGCCGTGCGTACGTGCGTGCGTGCGGTGCGTGCGTGCGACAAGGACGGAGCGAGGGTGGCTATTTCTGTGGGGCATATAGGGGGCCGCCCGTATAAAATAAGCAGTGAATGAAGGAGCCTGTTTACTGGCAGACGGCCTACGCGAGATTCAGTCGCCTCTCTCTCTCTCTCTCTCTCTCTCCTCCCCTCCTTTTTCTTTTTCTCTCTCTGACTCTCCCCACTTCTGCCGTGTCTTTCTCTCTCTTTCTTTCCTCTCTCTTCTCCCCACTACATCTGTCTCTCACCCTTTCTCTCTCTCGCGTCCTACAGTCCGTCTCCGTCTCGCACGTCAGTAGTAATCGCGTCGTCTCTTGCAAGGTTCCGCCTCACTCTCTCTCGCTCGCTCACTCGCACGGCCGAGCGTGTACGCGCTCCACGGGCACAGAAGAAGAGAGAGAACGAAGACCGAGGAGGCGAGCGAGAGCACGTCGTGTCGGGGTACCGAAAGAACCGTGTCGTGTGTGTGTTGGCCAGTACGCGAGAGGACCCCGCGGTGTATCGATCTCTCCTTCTCGCTGCGTCGTGTCACCGCGTGCGTGTCTCTCTCTCTCTCTCCCTCTCTACTTCTCTCTCCATCCCGCTTCTTCCCCCCTTCCCCTTCCATTTTATTCCGCCGTTCTATTTCCCTCTCTGTTTCGTTCACTACACTCGTGGCCGGTCTATCCAGCTCTCGAGGAGCGAGAGCGGCGTCGCTCGTCGGTCGCGCTCTCGATCGAGCCGAGAGAAGTCGAAGCTCCGCTCTCGCGCTCCGACTCAGCTCTAATGCCGCTTCCGTACTCCCGGATCGCGCTCGCTTCGGGAGAAGATATGTATGTGCTTTGCGTGCTGTGACGTTGTGACCTGTGCCGGAAGTGCGAGCAGGGAGGAGTAGGAATAGTAGCAGCAGCAGCAGCAGCAACGCAACGACGGCAGTACAGTAGTAGTAGAAGTCGTAATAGTAGTAGGAAGAGAGGAGGAGGAGGAGAAGTAAGAGGAGGTGGAATTCGAGTTCACGAACCGACGTTCAGTCTCTCTCGGGTGCACCGGAAGTGGCGAAGCGGGAACCGTGCTTCTCGTTCTTTCTCTCTCTCTCTCTCCCTCTCTCTTTCTCTGTTCCTCCGTCCGTCGCGCTCACGCCGCCACTGCGCCGCGTCGTAACACCCCAGTAATTCTCTCTCTCGAGTGCGCGACGTTGTTACTCGGGGGCGAGAAAGGGTGTACAAGTGAATCGGAAGTGCCGAAAGTGTGGATACCTCGGACAACAACCCGCCGCCCCCGGCGCTGCCACCGCGGCGGCCGCTCCGACCGAGCAACGACGGCGCCGCCGCCGCCGTCGTCGTCTTGAGGTGCGGCGACGCGCCGCGACGTCCGGCGTCGACGGCGACGACGGTTAATACGGCAGCGACGGCGGCTACGACGACGACGACGGCGCCGCCGCCGACAACGACGACGACGACGCCGACGACGACGACGCCGACGGCGATTAGCAGGACGACAACCAGGACGACGACGCCGCTGACAGCGGCCACGTTACCCACGTCCCACGGCTCAACGACCTCGCCACAGCCGCCGCTCTTGACGCCGCCCCAGTATCCTGCGCCCCCACGGCCCCCTAGTCGTACCGGTGAGTGCATCAATTTCTCGCTTATGCCACCTTGTCGCATTGCTCGGCCTCTGCGAACACTTAATCTACGGCGTGCTCGATGTTCCCGGATGTCTCGGGAACTCATCGAGTCTACGCTCGTCTAACCGCTAATTTAAAGTGAATTTGAAAACTGCGGTGTTAAAAGTCGTATTCTTTTCTCTCTCTCTCTCTCTCTCTGTCTCTTTTGCGAGTGACCAAATGCTACTCCCACCGATGCTTCCTCGAGTGTTTCGGGATAGCCACGAACTCGCGTCACGCAATCAGACTCTCGGCGGCGAATCTTGACGCGATTTCGTTTCGGCCGAGATATCGAAAGGGGGATATCGCGCAGCTGACGGCACCAGCAGAGCTCAGCGCGATTAAAAAAGAAAGCAAAAGAGAGGCGACGGAATTCTCAGGAACTGGATGCTATCGGAATGCGTGTACGGCGCCGCGACGGCGTCGGAAAAACGTTTTGCGTGCCCGCGAAAGAAGCCGCGCTCGGATTCACGTGTCGGAGAAAGAGAGAGACAGAGAGAGAGAGAGACAGAGACAGAGACAGAGAGAGAGAGAGAGAGAGAGAGAGAGAGAGAGAGAGAGAGAGAGAGAGAGAGAGAGAGAGAGAGAGAGAGAGAGAGA